CCTGAGGGATAGAATGGCATCCAGAGGGTCCTGGACAAGCCTGAGAAGCTTGGGTCTGTGTGAACTTCATGAGGTTCAACATGCCAAATACAAGATCCTGCACACAGGTCAGGGCACTCCTCAGTATCAATACAGGCTGGGAGATGATGGGATTCAGAGCAACCCTTCAGAGAAGGACTTGGAGGTACTGGTGGAGGAAAAGCTGGGCATGAGCTGGCAGTGTGTGCTAACAGCCCAAAAGGCAAATCATATCCTGGATTGCATCAAAAGCAGCATGACTGACCAGCAGGTCAAGGGAGGAGATTCTGCCCCTCTGCTTTGCTCTGGTGAGACCTCACCTGGAGTTCAGTGTTCAGCAGTAGAGCCCTCAGCACAGGAAGTACATGAACCTGTTGGAGGAGGTCCAGAGGAGGGCCACAGAAATGATCAGAGGGGTGAAACATCTCTCCTTTGAAGAAGGGCTGAGAGAGTTAGGGTTGCTCAGCCTGAGGAACAGAAGGTTCTGGGGATACCTTATTGCAGCCTTTCAGTACTTAAAGGAGGCCTATAAGAAAGATGGAGACAGTCTTTTTGCAAGGCTTGTAAAGGTAGTAAAGTGTGGTAAAACAATGGACCAGGTTGCCCAGGGAGGTGGTAGATGCCCCATCCCTGGAAACATTCAAGATCAGGTTGGATGGGGCTTTGAGCAACCTAATCTAGTTGGAGATGTCCCTGCTCACTGCAGGGGGGTTGGACTAGATGTCCTTTAAAGATCCCTTCCAACCCAAACCATTCTGTGAGTCTATGATTGTAGCACTCTTGCTCCAAAGGTGAGCACTTGTTTGAATTGTTTCTTTTAGACCCATAAATGAATCTATGGTTTTTGCTTCTAAATTCTTGCAAAGTCGAACTACTGAATTCTTAAATCCACATTCCTAATTAGCCACATGGCCAAAGTTCTCAGCACCTGACTGTATGTCTCCAAATGAGTTGTCATTTTCCTACTTTCCTACAAATTGGGATCTCAGCTTTCAGGCCTCCTAATTTTTCACCACTTTAACTCCATACTTCGCACTTCCACATGTGGCCCAGCCCCAAATTCACAGCACACATTTTGTGCCCAGCTTCAGAATCCCAGCCTCCCCTCTCTGGTACACTCCTGGGGACCTCAGCACCTTTGGCAAAGATAAACTGTATCCCAGTATCTGAGTTTCGCATTGTTACTTTCATCACTTCGCCCAGAATTATGCTCCTGCATACACGCCCACATGCAATTTGAGCACCATGTGGAATCTGAGACTGAACTAAGTCTGCTGGCAGGGCCTTACCTCAGATTTCTTGTATTATAGGCTCCCCTGCTCTTGGACCCACATGACAGAAGTTGGTAAGCCCCACACATCCAGCAAGCAGCTATATTTACCACATTGCTCTCTCTACAGTCTCATGTTCACGCTCTGTATCGGAGCCCTTCTCTCATTGTATGATCCCTGTCCTGTGCCCCACATATCACACATCCCAACACAGCTCTGCTAAAGAAAACAGAAAGACTGGGAGGTCATCAGCTGACAAGCTACACTGAGGAACCAAAACACATCCTGCCAGCTGTTCCAGATAAGTTTTCCAGATAAATGATGTTAATACAGATACACCTGCATATCTGTCCTACCATCACCAATGTCTTTTTTAACAGTACAAAAATACTTCTATTGGAGAAGCTTTCACTAGTTTCTTCAATGAAATAAACTCAACAGAAAAACCCAAACAAACAAACCAGCCCACAACATAAACCACCACAAAAGCCAGCCCCCCCAAAATAACTAACCACCAACAAAAAAAGACTGTGTTGGTCCGTGCAAAAGTGTCCAAGTTTGGACTTGGATAAAAGTATATGAGCACATGTGTGCACATGTAAGATCACTCCCTTACCATTACTAAATATTTTTGATGGCAGCACGCATATGGGAACCCTTAAGCTCCCATCTCAAAGTCCTCAAAGAAAACCCAGGTAGTTGTTTACATAAGGGGGCTGATTTAAGATAATTTCAAGTGGCTTCAAAATGCTTGGGACAATGCTGCTACGATTCTCTGCTGGTTCATACATAGGATTTATATCTGGAATATTCATGCCTTTGTTATAGGGCAAAGAACTGATACACCCCAGTGCAAATACAGCAGTCCAGCAACAACAGAAATTTTTTCTTAAGTGCTTGCCATGTTAAAACTGAAGAAAAGGTCTAACAGAAATAGAAGCACTTATCAGTGTCTATGACATGTAACTGTATCCAAAGATACTTGTTCAGATGTTTAAAATCACCAATAAAACAAGTAAGCTCAAAATTATGGTTTATAGTTCTGTCTCGTTGTTTTACAATAGTCAAAACCAATACACAATTAGCATCAAACACCCACAGTGTTCACATGTAATATCCGAAGAATGCCTGTGTTCTGCATCAAAGCTGACTTGGGTTGCCTCATGCAATACATACAATTCATCTATCTAACCACAAAAGGATTAACAGTGTAGTGATTTTATACAAGAATGCTTTATTACTATGTCCCTCCTGCTAATATTCAGTTTATCTTTCATCCACAGTGCTTCTTAGGGCAATGGAAAACTTTTGTTACCAGACGAAATCAACGTGAGTAAAACTTAATTTTTAGAAGTCTCTCAAAGACTGTGAGGTAAGGAGCCTGAGGTTTTCACTATTTCAGCCCCCAACAAAAAGGACTCAAAAGTGACTTAAGAAATCAGAAGCAAGAAGTATTTTTCCCCACTCTGAAAGTGGAAAACGCCAAAAGAACGTGGCCTGCAATAAAAATTACTAAATTGGCAGCAAATTAGTAGAAAGACAGAAACTGCCTCAGGCCTGCAGCTCTCACCTATCTGCAGTGATTCTCCTCTCATCAAAGGCAGCATGTAGCCTAAAGTCAGACAGCTGAAACTATACACCTTTCACAGCTGCTATTTGTCCAGGAATGGAAATACAGCCATCAAAGTTGTTACCCTTTAAATTTGTATTTGCCTGAAATGCAATGAAATTAGACAAAACTAGAACAACTTGGAAACTTTGATGATGCACAGCAAAAGCAACTTTCATTATCTGTCAGTGCTTCAAGCACTATTTTGTTACTATTCACATACCACCACCCACACAAGAGCATCCCCCATTTAGTTCACAGTAAAGGTTCACCTCAGATCGATACCTCTTTTCCAACAGGAGCCCACAAAGGGTTCTTATGCTCCTTCTGTAACTGAAGAGCAAATAGTGACACTTTCAGTGATAGGCACCGTCTCAGCTCCCAGCAAGTCCAGTCTCTGAGACTTCGACAGCTGGAGGTTGCTTCTGCATGGTCTTCCTCTAACATGAATGTGTCTAAACGTTGCCTGAGGCAATTCATACTTTTGGCATCCTAGGTTTCTATGGCAACAACTTCCACACTTCAGTTTATGCCTCTCAGAGACATGAATCAATCCCACTAGATTTTTGAGGCATTACTTCCCTGGATACCTTTGCTGACCAAGGGCATGGTATCAGTATGCCTACATCACATCAGATTTACTGGTCCACAATTTCCCAACGACTCTTGGAACTGCTTTAAAGTAACTAATGTTTATGTGCTCACTTCCATTTCTGCAGTATTATGCTAGTTGTTGGGTAAAAGTGTGCTTAAATCAGTATTTCATCAGCTTAATATCTGAGAATCCCAAAACTCAAATATTTCTGCTTCAGAGTCTGTCATTACTCATGTAATCTTTCCTCCTCTAAAAATCCTGTTCTTAGCATGACTTGTTCTACTTGTACATCAGATCCCTTCCTTTCAAGGGAAGGTTACTGTGTGCGGACCTCTTAACAGTGAACACTGCAGTTCAGCTTTTGTCCCCATGAATACACCTTCCTTGTTCACGTTTTTTAACAGTAATTTTTACTTTTTTATTCACAAAAATATTTTTTTTCACCAGTGTTATTATGGTTTAAAAAACAATTTAGAGGTTATTATACTTTCTTTCCTGTGTCTTTCAACATGACTACAGCTTTCTGAAGGGGTTTTTCTTATCATATACTTAAGACTTTTTGTTGACTTTTTTAATAACAGAAACTTTTTTTTAAAGAAAAATCTCCAGTAGAAGATAATTTCCTTCCTAACACCATTGTTTTACTTATTATTTACCACCCGCTTTACATTGTTGTATTGTGTTGCTAGTGGAAGCTAACTACAAGTGAGCAAAGTCGGTTAAGCAACAACGTTTAGATACTGCTTTGGAAAAAGAGTTGCTTTTTCATGATACATTAATATTACCTTAGTTTTAAGATGTTTACCTGTATTCATGTGCATGGTTGATTTAAACAGCTTGAAAAAATTAAAACACTCCATGACAAAAAAGTAAGCCCCACTCAAGCCCAGCTGAATCTCTTCTTAACAGAGGAGCAATAGACTCCTAATTCGTCTCCTCCTGATGAAAGATCAGACTTTGCAGAACAGAACAGCTAACTGTGGGAAAAGTTGAAAGGGCACAAACAAATGATTCTCAGCTACAAGACTGAATGGGCAGGAGGATGAGAAATCTGTCTTTACCTACAAGTATCAAATAACCATTGAATCTATGGGTGCAATTCCTGAAAGGCCAAAGAGAAAGCCATTAAAAATATTATTTTCATAACCACTGTACAGTAGCCCAGCAACATTCAGAAAACAACAGTAAATGATGAGACAACCTAGAAAAAAGAAAAATTAGGATTCTGAATTCTGTGTTTTTAAGTGTTCTTTTGAACAACAGTATTCTGAAAAGAATGCAGAATAAAGGATAGTTGTTATGATCATATCACTTTCTTTTTGCCAGTCTTTGCTATTTAAAACTGACATCACTTCTTATACTTTTTAATTTATCCATTAATAATATAGTTAATGTTTGTAATGGACAGTTTAACAAAGGTGATACACATTTATATATAATGTTGCTTGTCACATCTACAAAACTGGCTGTGTGTGTAGAAATTGGAAAAAAAACCCGACAAACATACGCCCACAAGTCTCCAGGCTTCACTTATCACTGCGTACTGCAGCCGGTTCAGAACAAACCCCTCAATTTCTCTGTTTAGCTTGACAGGAGATTGACCAATCTTCTTCATCAGGGCATATGTTCTCTCTGTAGTTGAAGGATCTGTTTCTGGATGAGGAACAATTTCAACCAACGGCACAAAGTAAGGTGGATTTACCTCAAGAAGAAAACAGAAGAAGAATGTCAACTATCAACAGACTAACAGAACAAGTTAGTATAAAGTGTCTTTGTAGCTTGTTAATAGCATGGATATTTTTCTAGTGAACACAATAAGCCTGATCTTCAAACCCCAAAAGACTTCACCAATGCCATAAAATCTGGTGTATTAATTCAATTTAAAAAAAAATAAAAGTCTTGCATTATACCTATCTCTGTTTAACCCCAGCAAAATTCATGGAGCTACACTGAAGATGACAGTACTCAAACACTACTAGAAGACTTTATCCTAATTTGAGTAGTTGATGTTTTGTCAATATTCAGACTGTTTGTTGATATAAAACATATGGTCACCACCTGTCTTTCCAAATGAAGCAAGGAATTTTCTTTTAGATATTTCGGAACTTTGTAAAAAAATTATTGCTAAACACCACCTAGTAAGATGCAACACTTCACAGATAAGATGCTGCTGGCCCAAGCCTGTAAATACATGCTAAACACAGTAACAGACACCACATAAAACATACTTTGAAAAATTTGCAGAACAGGTTATCTTCAAACAATGTACTTACATACTTAAAAAAGAATAAATAAAATTACCTGTCCCTGACTCTGACTCTTCCCAAAAGTAATGTCTCATCAAGTAATATATTTTTACATTAGTAATAAACAAAGAAGTAATAAACAAAAAGTTCTAAAGAACATCCTAGAAACACCTAAAATCTCTTCAGGTCCTAGTGTCACAGGCAGTAACACCGCCTGCGTGCTCCTTCCAAAAGCAGCAGTCCTTCAGGCATATTGTTAAGGTGTTTTACTCGGCTCTCCATCTAGTTTCCAGGTACTAGAAGGAGCTAACACATCATAAATTACTAACAAAAGTAACATGGGCATTTAAAGGATGGTAATTAAGTACTGATTCTTTCACTGTGCTCCCTTTCTCACAACAGACTTTTTGGGAGTGCCACCACAAATGCTGAGAACAGACTGATGGCCACTTTGCAGGTGTGGTGCCAGGGAGTTTAGCAAGACTCAAAACACTGCAAGCACCAAGATGTGCTCTGGAGGCTTTTCTAACCCTCAAGTATATCACAGGTTCCAATCAGGAAGAGAACAAGTTAACTGTTGAGAGAGACTGATGCTATTATAAATTTCTTCCAAGATTAGTGCCGACAGTCATCTTACTGAAATATTCTATTTCATGAATTTGGCATGGGGAGTATATGGGTGTGTTCATGAAGACACTGAGCAGACTTAGGAAGACAATTTTTTAGGAGTGAGAGAACAGATGCTGGTAAAACCTAGAAGTGATAAAACGTGGATAAAAATGGGGGAGAGGGAAGGAAGATTTCTAAAAATGAGAAGCCTTTCTTCAGGGAGCAGAAGAGCTTACCATACTCAGCCCAACAAAATGAAAACTAAGAAAGAACCTGACAAAGAAAAAACAGAGAAAGAATTAAGCTACACAAAAGCTTCCAGAAAGCATCAAATTCCCTTAAATGGGCTGTTAATAAGATTGGAACAAAAATTAGAAGACACAAACAATTTCTAACAGTAGTAGAGTTTAAAAAAAACAAAGAAACTAACAGAGAGAACTAATACATTTTTAAGGTGATGTGATTACAGGGTGTCATGAACAGCAGGGGACTTCACTCAGTGGTACACTGTCTCCTCAAGCTCTGTATTTCTAGCTGTGTGACCTAGCAGGTGTAGACAGTACATGAGAAATAAACTGCTCTGCAGAAGACTTCTACCAATACACCACCTGAATCTGCCTGCAGAGAACAGCTGTACCTACAAGTACAGGTTTCTGGTACATCAAATTCCACACTTCTTATTTTCACAGTGTCTTCCAGAGCTGCATGCATCTTGCAGCCATCAATCCCTATGCCCTACAGTCATGTTCAAGATATTAGTAAGGCCATGGTTAAAACAAAACAAAACAAAAATACCAAAAAACAACTACTACAAAACAAGCAAAGCATGTTTCCTGATACAATAGCTGCAGAGAGGCCCCTGGAAGAGTACACTGGCTCATAGCTTCTCCAGTACACTACCCTTTGAGTGAAACTGAGATCAGAATTAAGGAAACAGTCTCAGCTGGATTACAAAGCCATTTCAGAACAATTAGATATTTAAGGCACTTCACAGTATTTGCTTTGGAAAGTACATATATCCGTACAACAGCAACCCAGAAAATGTTTACGCAGGGACTAGCTACCTTTCCAGATCTGATAAAGCCTGGTTTCAGCAGTGGCTCCTACAAATACTGCAGCTCAGACTAAACAAGTCAACTGGTACAGACCAACTTGGGAAAACTGTAAGAATGAGTAATGTAAAATCAAAGACTGACCAACAGTCAGAGAACAGGCAGAAGCCCAAGAACCGGTTAAAAAAAAAAATCATCACTCTAGTTATTTACTACAGAAATCTAGAAGAGACATCATCTCTTCTCTTGAGCTACAGGAAGCTACAGCCTATGACATAAGGAACCACTGAATTTTAGGAGACAGGCTAAACCTGTCTACGGCAGGGGAGGGGGGTTTGTTGTGTTTGGTTTGTTTTTCATTGTGGTTTTTTTTAAAAAAAATATTTACAAGGTGAAAGATACCAATCCTTTTGTCCCTTTTTCTTCCCAGTCACCTCAAGGCACAAAAGTGGTGGTGGAGAGGTGTCAGAAAGGGACTGACCAAGTGCTTTGACACTACAGCATTAGGCCACAGGTAGCTATAGAGACACAAAAGTAGTGCAGTACTCTTGTGTTCACACTGCAACTCTTGAGCATGCCCAGGAAACTGAACACCCTGAGAGATGCTCTGGAGACACAACATGTAGCTACCAAACTGCAGACAGCAGAGCAGTATTTTTCTCCAGATACTGCAAACTTTCATAATAACTGTCCTCTTAACTGGTCTGTCAAACACTAGATTAACATTAGGCTAACCAATTCATTAGCTGTGGAGTAGTAGGAAACAGAAGCAGTAAGAAGCCCAGTAATCAAGACCAAAATGCTCCTCCATGCTGAGGACAGATGTGATAAACTGCTGTCTGGCAGCACCGCAAACCTCTAAAGAGGCTGACAAGTGCCCTTTAGCATTTTGAGGTTCTGCTGCCACCTCGAGTCATGCGACTTCTGCATCACTGCCCTGTTCCAGCTGGTCACAAAGTATAAAAATTCAGCTCCAAGTACAATTTGTTCCATTTAATCAACTGGCTTTTCCTCTTCAGGTATACTGCTTCTGCTTCAGAAGTCTGAAGAAACCAGAGTCAAAAGCTTCCATTTTTCATCGATATTGCCTGACAAGCACATGCAGCTCGCTGTCTGGATCCTTACTGTTACACAACAGCAGCTGAAAAAGGAAACTAGAAAAGACTAACAACACCAGAAGAAGAAAGTAGGGAATTGCATGTTTGTCTTCAGAACAGAGAGATCCTGCATTTGCAGAGCCAGTAGTTTAAGCAACACACAACAATATGAGCACAACAGCTTACACAGAATACATTTTGCACTAACAGTATGAAACATGCATACACCCTCTCAATTTAGTAGATGCTGCTGTTCACAGAACAACCAAACTAAAGCTTTTCTGATAAGTCAGGCCCTTGCATACTAATGATGGCATACAAGCATTCCAAATATCCTTCTGTGTACTTCAGTCTGCAGGGAAGAGTTTGGGATGCAGTTTAGTTAAACACCTGTACTACTTAGCACTACCACAAAACCAAAACATGCCATCATACTTACAGGATGTGACACAATACACTGCTTAACATGTTTAAGGCCAGTGAACAATTTGCTGGGTAAGAGACAAGAGGTCGAGCTGCTCAAGATAACATTGTCATCAACAATAAGATCTAACTGACCGAAAATCTTCTTTTTCAGTTCCAGGTTCTCCGGAGTACATTCCTGGAATGAAAACAAAAACCAGCATTAGAAGTATTCTAGTTCAGTACTATTTATCAATATATTTCAGACTTCACAGAACCCACCTTGACACCTAGGAACTCAGCACAAACCATCTACTTTAATCAGCAGAGAGTCATAACACAAAATACCTTCCCACATATAAGTGGATGGAAAGGCCAAGAGTTTTACTATAGCAGAAGGTGGACCACCACACACCATGGGAGATTTAACACAAAATAAATGATTCTGCTTTGTCTGAAACACAGGCTTTTACTCATCCACAGAGATAACACAGTATGGAAGAATAAGACTTGGTCTCCATTTTTTTTAAGAGTATTTCACATGATAGAAATGAGTATTCTCTCTCAGACAAGATGGAAGCAAGTAAGTGTATCTCAAAAGAAGACAACATCTCCAGAACTATGGTAAGAGATTCCAAAGTACAGCTCTGGAACATGTGCTGACAGACCTCTCAGTGACCCTCACACCTAAAGAGCTTAACCATCACCATTCATCTCAACTCTGAGAAAGATTACTAAAGTAGAATGCATACTATGAGAACTTCTCCCAAAGCTATTGCGCATGTTCAGCTCTACACTATTGTGTGAAATTTCACATGTATTAGGCAAGAGTCACAACCTAGAGTCTCTAGAATTCCAGTTATTCTCAGGAGCTGCCTGAAGGAGAGCATGCAGAAGTCTACCAGTCTGGGAGCAATGAGGACATGGAATAATAACTACAGTGGATTCCACTGTCAACAGGAAAGACTTCAGTCTACAAAAAGAAAACGGGAACAAAGTCCACTTGTTTTTGTTTTGTTTGTGTTTTTTTTTTCTTTTTTTTTTTGGAAGGGCTTAAAAAACTATCCAAACAGGAACCCAAACTTGCAAAACCTCAGCTTTCCCTTAAAACACACAGAGAATACCTGCTCTTTTCCAGCTTCAACCTTCTCCCACCTGTCAGTACTCCATTCTGTCCTTCCTGTTATGCTGAATAGCAAATGAGGGTAGGGAAAAAGGCTATACATTAAATATAACCCAAAATTTACATTTAATACCTGCAGCTTCAGACAGAATCCGTGGCAGGGATGACCAGGGCCCAGG